CAACAACTGAAAGATTGGGCATAATGTTGAGGACCATCTTATCTCTTTACTACTATAAAAACTCATGAGATATATACTATCATAAAGGGGCAAATTTAGCCCCATTCCTGATATACTTATTGTTATTAAGTTCTGACTCACAGAAACCCTGTATAGGGTTTCTAAGAAGCAGTTGGTGGGTTTGAACCGATGACCTTGTGGTTTACAGTCCAGTGCTGATCCTACAGAATTCACTTTTTCTTACACAAAAAATATTTCTCATGGATAGAGTCATTGAGGTATTCTGGTAAATCAAATATTAACAGTTATAATTTATGAATGGTCAGTTTTCAAAATGTTATACATATTATTATACAACTAAAATATTACTAAAGGGTATTGGAATCCCTGGGTGGTACAAATGGTTAATGTGCTTAGCTTCTAACCAAAAGGTTGGAGGTTTGAGTCACTCAGAGGTGCCGCAGAAGAAAGACCAGGTGATCTACTTTTGAAACATCAGCCAATCAATGAAAACCTTATGGATCATAATTGTCTGTATGGGGTTACTAGAAATTGGAGGTCAATCCAACAGCAGTTTATAGCAACAACAAAGGTAATGTTTTGCTTTTGTTTTTATTTTCTTCTTCAAGGTTTCTGCATATTCTGCTCTTGTGCCTCAGTCTCCTTAGGAGGGTGTGCAATCATGGAAACTGGTGTATCCGGCCCACTTGCTTTTTTTAAAAAGATTTTTGAGTGTTTTCCAGGATCATATATGTACCTTTACAATATACTTGTATAATGTATCTTTAGGTATTTAATTACATTTTTCAGTGGATCATTGATAAGACAATACATTATTAAAAATGATTTCTCCTTCTCTCCCTCAATAGAGTAGAAGCCTTCAGTGAGATAAACATAGCCTTTTTATGTAAGCAAATCAGTGGCATGTTGTTGTTCAGTGCCGCCAAGTCGGATCCGACTCATAGCAATCCTGTATAGAGTTTTTGAGGAATAGCGGGTGTGTTTTGAACTGCTGACCTTGTAGTAGGGTATGCAATAACAGAAACTGGCTGTTACAATGTCCATTTGCTTTTTATTAAAGGAAATCAAAGGCATAAGGGTCACTAATCTTCTGCCAAAAATATTGTGTTATTTTGCAATGTAATTTTTATCAGAGACTTGCTACAGACTCCTCAGTTACCCTCAATCCATATATAGACACACAAGTTAAAACCCTCAGCTAAAACAAATAAAAAAACAAAATTCTTAACTGGAATTAAAGTGACATCACCAAGGTCAAATTTCAAATCAATGAGAGGGATTCAGAAATATACCAAGTCACTTTTAGTAAACTTTAACAGGGTCACTCTTCTTAAACAAAAAGATACTTAAAGCTCCAATGAAACTATTCCACCATTCCTATTAGATTACAGATGCAAATGAAAATACTTCATTTGGGATATGAAGTGGTGTGCCATAACTTTGAACTTAAAATTTGAATTGGGATAAACACAGATCATCAGACCCTTTATTTTATGTAGGCCTGATTCCCCCACACTGTAAAGTTGCAGGTCACTGTGTTAACTAATTTAAACGAAGAAAGTCTGGTACCCAAGCCTGATTTGAGAGTGGAATTCAAGCATGTTGGCCTTCCAAACATTATAGAAAAAAGTACCTTGTGCTCAATAGCACGTTTCTCCTTCTCTGACTTCGCCAATATTGTTTCCAGGTCATTGATTTCTTTCTTCTAACTGGAGTATTCATCTTCCAGTTTCCACCCCCTGGCAGTCAGCTCAAAATTTATCTCCTCTTCTTCCTCCACCCCCTCCACCAGCTCCTTGACTGTGGCCTCCAGCTGGATCTTGGATTTAATCAGCGACTAGCACTGCTCTTCAACATTTGCCAGGGTTTCTTGCTCCTGCCATGATGAGGAGAAAATTGTTGCCAACAGCTGGAAGTAATTTATCAGCTAGGCGAGAATGCTGTTTAACACATAGCAAAGAGATAATTGCCTGCCCTCTGCCCAGCATTTTCACCTACCTTTCCTAAGCAGCTGAAATAATATTCCTAGCTCCCTGATCCTATTGTTGAGAAGTGGAGGAGTTTGTTGTGTTTGGAGGTGCTTTCAATCTTTCAGACCCATTCAGTAGATTAGATTACCTCTTCTAAAGCACTTAATAGAATCTTGGGGTCCTAAAGGAGCTAATATGCCTCAAAAAATCAGTGATGTGCTACTTAAATCACAGCTTTTGGACGCATCCATATGGACACATAGTTTGAGGCTCAAAATATGGTCTTTTATGAAAGCAGTTTCCCTCATGTAATAGAATATTTATATTATTAGAAGTGCTCCAAATACACTTGTAATATATGTATATACATATATAAACATATATGGAGGCTTCAAAATTCATGGAAAAATTCCATTATCTCTTCTTGGTATGGTTTCTTTTTTTAAAAAAATTTTCATTGTGAGTTGAGTGAAGGTGTACAAAGCAGATTTCAATGATTCCAATCCCTTCCATATAACATTAGTTATTTCACTTTATTCCTGTGATTCTTGTTTCCATTCAGCCTTCTTTTCCAATCTTTCTGACTTTTGTCCTGAGGTAAATGTTGCCCTTCTGATCTTGAATGGTGTGCATACCTCACTACTGTTGTTGTCCACCTCAACCTTCCATCATATAACTATATACTGATTGGCTGAAAATTGAGGAAAGTGGGTGAGTTCATTTCCAAAACTGAAGGGTGACCACGGGTCATAGTCTCAGTTTCCCCAGTCTCTTTCAGACCAGTAAACCTAGTCTTTCTAAAATACTTTTGTGTTTTATTCCACATTTTCTCCCATTCTTTATAAAGCCTTCTAACATAATCTCTATCAAAACTATTGTCAGTGGTAGCTGGACACCATTTAGTTTTTCTGGTTTCAGGGTCATGGAGACTGATATTCACATGTTCTATTAATTGATTCTAACTAATTGATTCCAACATGTTCCATTAGTCCATCGTTCTTCTTTCCTCTATACAAGAAGAAACAAATAGTTATGCCTTAGATGGCCACTCATGAGCTTTTAAGATCCCAGTCACTGCTCACCAAGGTAGTATCTAGAACACTGTCTTTGTGAACTATGTTATGCCAGTTGATCTTAATGTGCCTGGTGGGTTCAATCCATGGACATTGTGGTTAGTAGTCCAGGGTTTATCCTATAGCACCATACCAGGTCTCATTAGTTTCCATTAGAAGCTAAAAAAGGCCTCTTTTGTGAACAGGTCTTAATTGCTGCAGATCTTATTGTACCAGAATTTTGCATACCACTTCATTTCATATCTCTGAACCCCATCCATTTCCCACAATATACAAGTTTGGACAATTTGTTAACTATTCACTTTACTCAGCTAATTAGATAAATACTAGAAAAGGGCAAAAATCTAGGTTCTTGCTTGTAGCTAACTTCTGGCAAGAAAATGCTTTCCTGCCCAGCAAAGCCTATTGGTGGGAAGCATAGGAAATTGTACAGAAAATTCCAACTTCATTGAGGACTCCAAAGAGAGGGGATCAATTAAAATTATTTTTTAAATCAAGGCATTTAGGTCTGTTTGACTATTACAAGAACAAGCAAGCTATTCACTGGGGAGCCATCAAGGCAAGCAATCAAGTCCCTTCGGAACAAACCCCTCTCCAAGACAGAAACTCACATGGAACATACACGCAGGCAAGTAAGATTGCTGGTGACTGCATTGATCTACATTTGAGTGGAAGTGGGGTAAATTCAGTAATGAAGACATGGGCTGGGTTTAACCATGTTCCCTAGATTCCTGTTGACCGCGAGATGAGAGAGAGAAGAAGAAAGGCTGGTTGGTCTCAATTTTGGGAAGACACCTGAGCCCATGGACACTGAACTAGCCATGGAATGCTAGAGCTGAAAGTGATGCATCTAGTTGATATGAAGTGGGGGGATATGCACAATAACACCCAGACTTGAAGATAGTACCCATTTGACCTAGCTTCAATGGCTTGATGACCAGAGCACACCTAGAGGAAGATAAAGAAATTTGATAAAGGAAGCAAGTGTAAATTGGTACAATTTGATGAACTTGACATAACTTATGGATGAAGTAGCTCAAAATACCAACCAAGAGGGAAGGAGTCTTCACATCAAGGATCAAACATATCCCCTCAGTAGATACAGTTTAGAGGGATGGGCAACTTAGACATTGGCTACCTAAAAGAGGGGGTGGTGGCTATAAAGGCCCAAAGTAACTGGCTTACAAGTTTTCAAGAGGCAGTTTAGTTCCAGAGTGGGGGTGGGGCAGAGGAAAGGAAGAATCCCCACTAAATAGTTTTCATCTTGTCTAGATGGGTCTTGTGAAAAGAAATGGGGATAGGATTCTTTTGGTTCAATAGTGAGTATTTGTTATGAGAAATTGCAATTGTCACTACTGTAAAGGTAGAAGTTTTGTAACATAAAGGGGGGAGTAGTAGATCTCACATTCCAGGGACAGAGGACCCTAGGACCATCAAGGAAGAAGAGCATGAACAGAATGTGGGACACTAACCAGAGAAGCAGAGACACTAGAGATGGATGCAGAGATAATGGTATGAAGAGATAGAGCTTCTGAGGATTATAGACTCATGGAAAGAGAAAGATTGTGTGCTGGCAGCCAGGAGGCCGGCTTGCAGAATGTGCCCTTTGGCCGTTTAACTGATTATATATTTCTGAATGTA